AACTCGTCATGGCGCTACTCTCTGTATATAGGGACTCTACCCTAACCTTGACCCTAACCCTAACCCTAACCCTAACGACCTAAAAATGACTCTTTTTTTAAGAATGGAAGAATCAATTTCGTGCAGGGGGTGGAAGCAACATAAAATATTGGCGAAATGGGAAACTGGCGAAGTGGGAAAATGGCGAAATTGGAAAATGGCGCAATGGGTAAATGGCGAAATGGGAAAATGGCGAAGTGGGAAAATGGCGAAATGAAAAACTGGCGAAATGGTTAATGGCGAAATGGCAAATGGCGAAATAAGAAACTGGCGAAATGGGAATCTATATGACCGAGTGCAATGGGAACAATAACGAAATGCAGGTGGCCAGGCCCGTGGGAAAAGCTGGACAATGGAGGTGGACTCGCTAGAGTCGTGTGCAATATAAAAAAATATCGTCTATGCGTCTATCATGCGTCTATCGTGTTCATCTGTTCTAACTACGTGGAATTATGGGATACTAACTCTGAGTTAAAACATTTAACTCAGAGTTACTTAACTCAGGATTTAATCCATGTTTATGAAACCCAAATTTAACTCGGAGTTTACTAACTCACAGTTAGTGAGTTTAACTCAGAGTTAGTCTTAACTCAGGGTTAAAGTTAATCCACGACTGTGGAACCGGGTCCAGAGGTTTACTAGTGTAGAGCAAGCGATGACGACTCTGCACACGGCCCTAGTCCGCATGGCGCCATTGTTTCGTTTGCACACGAGGCTAAACCTGTTTTAGTATATTGTTCACCACCTAGTGGTCAATTAGTATAAAACAAATGATGGTTGTTTTGCGCACGGCCCTGACCACATGCATTCCGCCATTGTGTATTTTGCACACGTCTCTAACGATTTTTCTTTCATTGTTACACTTTGCACACGGCCCTGGATACCTGCATTCCGCCATTGTTTATCTTCTCGCGGCTTGAACCATCTGCATTTCGCCGGACGATAGACGCATGATAGACGCACGAACATGGTACTGGTAGAAGTACGGATGCCTGGATCAGCATCGGTACGCCATCAATGGCCGACCAATGTACACCAAACGTAAACAAACACCTATGTTCTAGCGGCAGCGGGGTATCGGACACGGGGCAGTACTAGATAAACTAATTAGCTCTAGTACCAAGTAACCTAGAGCTAAACTAACCTCGTAGAAACTAGTCTAAAGGATTATATCAAAGACTATCTATAACTAAATCGAATCATAGATCGAATGTAACTTGATATTTAACCCTGAGTTAAGAGTTAATCCAGGTTCGAACCAGAGTTAACTTTTAACTCTGAGTTAAGGAATTTAACTCAGAGTTAAGAGTTAATCCACGACTGTGGAACCGGGTCTGGGTGTTTACCAGGCACCGGGCCATCAGAGCCCTTCTCGTTTCACCCCCGCTTGAATTTTCTGGTTGGTTCCGCCAGAACTAATTGCTCACTGTCCCACGGAATCCCGGGTAGAGTACCGTTGATGATCGTGCCACATCCCGGTAAAATTACAGTGCGCATGTCGCACGGAGAATCCTGGGACACAATCCTCTCTTCTCGTGCAATACATGTAGCAAACCATCAATGGTGAGTGAAAGGTGAGCGAGCATCGTTCTGCCCCAAGGTTGCATCTGAGTGCCTCGGAGGTTTTTATGTCGTTCTTCTGGCTGATGGCTGGTCTGTGGGCAGTCGGCGAAAAAATGGCCTGGCCTGCCACACTGGAAACACAAAGACCGACTTCCCCTTGCCGAAGCACCACGACCCCTGCCGTTATCTCGCTGAACGCGGCAGAGATCGATCGTTTCCAGCCGATCGTAAAGATAGGAGTCTACCTCCCGCAACTCCACAGCGTTCAACTGCTTCAGGAGCGCTATTACGTCGGCAGCTCTAGGGGGTGGTCGTGCGGGAGCTACCTCTACTGGCTGTGCCGACGGCTTACTGTAGGCGACAGGGCTCGGGATTCCTGCCGCGCCCCATTCATCAGCAATCCGGGCCGACTTTTCCACGCTGCTTTTGCCCCGGGATTGTAGATGCCCGCGAAGCGGGGCATCTGGTATTTTCCAGAGCAGACGCCAGTTGCAATCTTCACTTGCTTGCTCACGCGTTAGGTGAGGCTCTGCCCGCAAAGGTCCCTCGCAAAGTTACCCAGCTCTCATTGCTGCGCTTATGACGCTTCTGAAAGCGGGCCTTGCGCAGTAACTCCGTCTCTGGCGGCTCGAACTTGGCACAAAGGACCGAGCGCATTTCTGACTCAGTTAATTCCTCCGCCTCACTGTAGTCGAGCCCATCCAATGTGGTGAGAAGGCGCATAGCCCGACCAACCTGCACGCGCTGCTCTGTTATCGATTAGATGATCCTGGTCACGGCACCAGTGTAACGCTTGCCCCTCTGGCGTGGTGGTAGATCAGGCCGTGATCGTCCCACAGGGGTGACACGTCGAGTCATGCACCTCGACTGCC